TTTCATGACGCGTTTCGCCACAATAGGCTTCTTCAAGTAGAAAAATCAAAAGACACAAACCTGACATGTAGTTTCTTATATAGAATACATTAATTGTATTGGAATTTGAAAATTCCCGCCAAAATGACATCATGATAATTAAAAAACTTTAAGATGCATATTAGATTCATAAAAAAATACAATAGTTTTTCTAATGATACTTCCTCCCCTCGTCCTGTCTCGATTGGAGTCACCCAAAGCTCTGTCCTTGGGCCACTTCTATTTTCTCTTTATACTGCCTTTCTTGGCAAACTTATTCCCTCATTTGGATTCCATTACCACCTGTATGCTGATAATACCCAGATATATCTCCTCCCCAGAACCTCTACCCTGCCGTCCTGCAATGTGTCACTGCTTGCCTTTCTTCCATCTCTGACTGGATGTTCTGCCACTTTCTGAAACTCAATCTCTAAAATTGAGCTCCTTGTCTTTCCTCCTCCTAATACTGATCCTTCAAGTTAGTGGTATCCACATAAGTCCATATTTGCAAGCACGCTGTCTTGGTGTCATACTTTATTCTGGCCTCACCTTTGATCCTCACATCCAGTATGTTGCCAAATCCTGTAGATTCAATCTTAAAAACATAGCCAGCATTCACCCATTTTTTACGAAAGATGCTACCAAGACGCTTGTCCATGATCTAGTAATTTCTTGCATGGATTATTATAACCCACTCGTAATAGGTCTGCCTACAAGTCGTATTGCCCCGCTACAGTCTGTAATGAATGCTGCTTGCCAGATTGATTTTCCTCTTTAATCGGTTCTCTCACACCTCACCCCTCTGTCAGTCCTTACATTAGCTTCCTGTATCCTATAGGAGTCAATTCAAAGTGCTAACCCATACATATAAAGCACTGAACAATTCTAGCCCCTTATATTTCTTCACAGATCCATAGGTATGCCCTTCTTGGGCTCTCCGCTCTGCCCATGACCTTCTCCTGTCCACTGCTCGCACTCGTACGGCCAACTCACGCTTGCAGGACTTCTCGTGGGTGGTTCCCTTTCTATGGAATAGTCTTCAATCGTTTAAGAAGTGCTTTAAAAACCATCTCTTTAGGAAAGCTTATGGCCTCTCAGAGTAACCTCTACCTTACATACCTGTCTCTTGCTCTCTCCTAAAGGGCAGCACTTTACTATCTCCTCCAGCTCTGCTTCACTCCCACCTTATTTGATTGCTGTTTCCTGTCCTATAGACTGTAAGCGTGTTTGAGCATGGTCCTCTTCAACCTATCGTTCCTGTAAGTTTTCTTGAAACTGTCCTATTTATATAGTTAAATCCCCCCTCTCATAATATTGTACAGCGCTACAGAATCGGTTGGTGCTATATAAATGGCGATGATGATAATAATAATAAAAAGCTAGCCCAATAATCTATTGTGCCTTGCTCCTCTTACAAAACTGTAATTTGTCTTCTACTCATACACTTACATTGATCCTGTGACAGTTCCCCTGCTCTCAGCAACAGCTGTCTCATACTCTACAAGATATATTGTGACCAGGATGTTTACCTAGTTCATTTCCTTTACATACCCATTCCTTGGGTATCTATATCCTGCCCAGTGAATTATTTTTTTATATCATGCAGGCACATGGGAATTTAAAGGTTAATGCTCCTACTAAAGCTGCAAGTGCCAGTAGGCACTGTTTTCCCCCTGTACCCTCTAGATCCTCTGCCCATTCTATGATGTATCATAGGAGCAGATGAACTCTGAGAAGTTTCACTCGTTCCTGGACGCTACCATGGCCAAGTCAGTCAATCAAGCCATTTACAATGCAATGGGAGTTGTAAATGAATGTGTAAGAGCCAGGCAAAATTGGTGCAGACATAGAGGAGGGAAAAAGCCCTTACTGATTCTAACGCTGACTTGGTTTCTGAGTCAGTGATGAGTTGAATGTTGTTGACTCTTGACTCAGAGACATCTTCTCCAGACCCCAGTTGTTCTGCTAAACCAATAGTTATTCCAAAAGGAGGGTGCAGATGACCTGCAAGAGGAAAAAATGTATTTCTTTGCCCAAAAGGTCCCGCAGCACTTTAGGCCTCGCAACTTGAAACCCAAGATGGCAACGGAGACTCAGATGCGAGTATCCCAACTCCCAACGACTGAGCACTTATAAACTGAACATATTACAAAATAATTTTTGGCACAAATAAGCAAATTGATTACCTCCTGGCAACATACAGTGGAGGCCTCTCTGGAAGGATATGCAGGAGATAGGCACTGGCACTTCCCACGTGGAAAACAAGATGAGGGAATACGCCACTGCACACAATGACATGGCCGACTATGTCCAGAGCATGGTACACATAGATGGCAGACTCAGAAGACAGGGCACAAAGGAACATCCTGCGGCTACGGGGAGTTCCAGAGTCTGTGCTACATGTGGACCTACAAGCCTATACAAGACTCTACTTCGGGCCTACATGCCGGGTATTCCAACTGAGATGCTGCCGATCGATCGGTTACATAGTTTCCCGAAACCGCGTTACCTCCCAGATTCGGCACCAAGGGTTGTGCTCCTCAGAGCACACTACTTCCATATAAAAGAACTTGTCTTGAAGGCCTGCCGCAATCGAAGCATGCCGCACGAGGACTACCCTACCGTGAGGATCTTCGCGTATCCTCCGCAGCAACGCTGAAGAGCAGAAGAAGTTTCCAAACAGTGGTGGATGCCCTGCGACATCACAGAACGAGGTACTGCTGGGGATACCTGTCCAACGCGACAGAGGCATGAAACCAATATTTACCCCAGAAGAGGAACTCACCAAGCTGACAGAATGGGGCATACCAATTAAGTCGGATACTACCTTACCTCTACCTCAACAGAGACTGACACCAAAATGGTGCACAGCGCATAAGAGCCTCTCATAGATGCGCAGCTCCATGGTTTGCAAGTATTGTTTAGCTAGAAGTTTGTTTCAACATGTAATTACGCTATATATATATATATATATATTTTTTTTTTTTTTTTCCCTGATCCCGATACTACCAGAGTGCAAATTCCTGAACCATACAACCCCTAGTTTCTATTATACTTAGCGTGGCCCAAACTTCCTCCATCTCCGGAGATATCTTAGCCGCCCTCATCTAACTGGTATCTAGCAAGCTCACTGCGGATACCTGAACCGCTCTTATATCCACCCGAGTGCTTAGCCATCTGTCGGCTCCTGAGCTTGGCTGGGGAAACTAGGCCCCTTGGTACTGGCAATATACCACAGTACCATTTTATTGCACCGGCAATGTAATAGTGATGCCTCTTTACATGGACCACATTCTCCACACATATCAGAGTATGATGCTTTGATCCTGGGGAGGCTTACCTATGACTCTGCTATCATTATTTTCTGTTATTATTGTCCTTAGGATTCTTACTGTTAATTACCTTTTTATGCTTTTGGTCAATTGCATGCGTAAACGCAACAGTCGCATACATCTCCACGCCCCAAAACCAGTTTGACGAATATAGCTGCAAAAGATTTGACCACTGCCAGTAACGTACATAGCCACACCAAGCCAGACGATTGCGGTTTACACAGGATGACTCAGTACCCAAAACTAACGAATGCAGGGTACTGAACGCTACTATGGGAGGCCATAGATATATATTACTGGTTGGGCTGATATGTCCCTGGGGAAAAAGAAACCTAGCTTAACCCAGGAATCTTATTTCTGGTGGCACACTGTAAACCTCTCCGGCATGACAACTAAGCCGTTGTTACAGTTAAGCCACTTTTTGTTGATTTCTGAACTCTCACTGCTACCCAACCAGCTACCACAACTGTTGGCTAAATGTTAGCATTCCCTAATGCAGCCAAACATTATACAAAAGCCCAAAATGGTTCACTTTTAGAGCTCTGCAGCCACAACACTGGAGAATTTTACTTCTTCTAACCCCACAGTGCGGGTCCCTTGCACCATGTCCTCTTGGGAGGAAACACAGTTTACCCCATCCCAGTTCTTTTACCCTTGTCCTGTGCTACCCTCTTCCCCCATCACCACCCACAGTATCACTCATAGAAACACTTCTCGCTATCGAGTTTTGCTCTGGATACCAAAAGTCTGCCACTACTCTAACGGGTTTACGACAATCTCCACACAGCAACACCTAACAACCCCCAGAGTATGAAAATACAATCACACAGGGTTTAAAACACCAACATAAGCATTGCATCCTTCTAGAGGGGGCAAGGAGGGAAAAGATTGATTTACTCTGCATCCAAGAGACACATTTTGTCACTAACAGGGTTCCTAAGTTTGGTCTACATGATTACTCGACCCAATATCACGCAACCCACACCTCAAAATCAAAAGGAGTATCATTCCTAATACACCACTCCCTATCCTTTGAATTGTAGCACATTCAGAAAGATAACTAAGGGAGGTTTATTATCTTACACTGCATGGTAAACGAGGTTGAATATATCCTAGTGGGGATCTATGGTCTCAGTGCTCACCAAAGGAACTTTCTACATAAAATACTCACCAAACTCTCCAAGGATACCTCAGGATCACTCATTATCTGTGGAGACTTAAACCATGTATTGGACCTGCACGCTGACACAACCTTACCTGACCCATCCCCTAGACACTTGGCAATATGGAGGCAAAGCAAAGCCCTACTCAAACTCAAGTCCGATCATGGTATCTATGATGCTTAACCCCATGGGAAGGGAATTTTCTTCCAGTGTGCATAAGTCGTTCTCCAGGATAGATCATATTATGGTATCAGGCCTTCTACTCCCAAGGTTCACACAGTGCTCTATTGGAGATATAGTGTGGTTGGATCATGTGCCACTCACATTGACACTCTGAGGTCAATTTCCACATAGTGGATAAGCGCCATTGCATCTCAATGACTCCCTTCTGAAAGACCCTAGGTTTCTTGCTCACCTGACACAAAATCTGGAGGACTACTTCAATATAAACGACTCTCCGGAAACCTCCCCTGTCTCCCTCTGGCAGGCCCATAAGCCCACCATTAGAAGCATACTAATCAGTCAAGCCTCGTATGTTAAACATAAATCCAACCACGACTACATTGACCTGCTGCGCTCCCTGCGAGATGACACAAATGCACATACTATACAACCAGTGGATGCATATTTGAACACCATAGCAGATGCCACCAAGCGAATAAATAAAATACACCTAGCCAAAACATCTTACACACTTCAACGGCTCAAAATGCAACACTACTCTCAGAGCAACAAAGCAGGGAAAGCGCTAGCCACACTGCTGTGGAAAAGACAAGCACAATCTAAAATATAATACTTAATCTCAAACACAAACAAAACAATTTACAATCCCCAAGACATAAATAATGAAATGGTCTCTTTCAACCATAACTTGTACAATCTGAAAAACGATAATACAACACATCACCCCACCGAGTCAGAGATTGGCAACCTTTTAAACTTCATCACATTGCCGTCTCTATCCTCACAACAACAGGAGAGATTACAAAAACCTGTAACACGTCAAGAAATCTTACAAACTATAGCATCTCTTTAATGTGTAAATCCCGTGGGCCAGGTGGCCTCACAAACTCCTACTATAAGCTCTTCTCCCATGTCTTTGCCCTAAGGTTGGAACCAGTATACAATCACATCATAGGCACAGGTGATATGCCACACGAGATGCTAATAGCACATGTAGTCACTCTCCCCAAACCAGGGAAACGCCCCACTAAAAGTCAAAATCTGTGACCAATATCGTTACTCAACACTGATACCAAGCTACTCACCAAAATCTATTCCAACAGGCTGTCACAAATTATCCCTACAATTATACATGCAGATCAGGTCGGGTTTATGAGCAGTTGCGGATGGAATGAGGAAGGTCTTGGACTTGCTGGGGGGCTGCGAGGGGGGAGGACCCCCAGTGTGCTGCTTTCGCTGGATGCGGAAAAGGCCTTTGATAGGCTCCAGTGGCCCTTCCTCCTCGCGGTCCTAGGGAAATTTGGATTCCCCCCACAGTCCATATCCCTGGTAACTGCTCTATAATCACACCCATCAGCAGAAGTGGTTAATGGAGGTTTCTCATCACGCAGCTTCAGCATTTCCATTGGCTCAAGACAGGGCTATCCCCTATCCCCAATATTATATATCTTGGCATTGGAACCCCTGACTCAGTCAGAGACAACTCAACATTCATGTAATCAAGATCAAAGACAGAGAATATAAATTAACCCTATTTGCAGACGACATCCTCTTCACGCTTCAACAACCACACACATCCCTACCTACCCTACATGACCTCATCCAGCAATATAGTAAGTGTTCATTTTATAAACTGAACATATCCAAGACACAAGCGATGGGCATTAACGTCCTGCAACATGCGCTAAACAACCTAAAAGATGCATTCGCCTATGAATGGTGAACAGAGTCGCTCAAATTTTTTGGGGTAGCCCAGACGCCACAGCTTTCAGGCCTCTTTAAGGCTAATTACCAAACCTTGCTCGGTGACATAAAAACACAAATACAAAGCTGGAAAGAGAAATTCATCTCCTGGGTTGGTAGGATAGCGGTGACCAAAATTTTACTTATCCCAAAATTCCAATATCTTTTCCGCACCCTACCAATTAAACTCCCCACTCACTACCTATGTGAGGCTCAGGGGCTAATAAATGCCTTCAGCCGGAATAACTCCAAGCCTCGAATTACAAAATCTACCCGATACAAACTGTTTTTAAAGCAAGAGAGAATGGGATTGCCAGACATTGCGGGCTACTATAGAGCAGCGATAATTAGCCCTATACTATCAGCCAGTAGCCACCTCAGACCTCCACAGTGGGTTTATATTGAATCAATCTATACCAATGATTTCGCTATCACTGCGCTTGCATGGATGTCTAGGAAGTTAAGACCTAAACACAAGGACATACTCCCCACGACCAAACACACTCCAACTATGGGACAAATTCAGAGACAAAGAAGCCTTACACAAGGGCACCTCCCTTGTTCTACCACTGGAGGCCTTACCCTCCATTATCCCTGATTTTAACTACAAGTTATGGCACAGACATCATATTACCCACATCTATCACATTCTCCAAGGGTCAACTTTGAAATGCTTTGCTGACATTCAAACACAATATGGGTTTCCTACCACTGCAAAATTCTCTTATGTGCAACTGTTGTCATGGTCAAAAAAGCAACATGTACTATCCTACAATAATAAATGGTCTACAGTTAACAGACGTAGAAAAAATATGTCTCAGATTGCAACCAGCCACCAAATTGATCTCTACCATATACGCTAAAAACTGTGCCAGGACAAGCTTAATTTACCTTTGTTTGAGCATGGGAACGGGAACTTGACATTTCCCTTTCAGAGAAACAATGGCAAAAAATAATCCTAGCACACAAAAGCTTATCATTGTGCACCTCCCATATGGAGCTCACAAGGAAAATTCTGTACCGATGGTACCTTGTACCCACACGATTAAAACACAGCAACCCAGGTCTGTCGGATACATGCTGGCGCTGCCTATCAGACTCAGGGATGATGACCCATATTTGGTGGTCGTGCCCCAAAATAACCAAATTCTGGTCAGACATAGAACTGATTATTCACGAGTGCTTGGGCACACACTTACCAAAACTCCCTGAAATATACCTACTACACCTCTTTCCAAAGGGTCTTGCCAAAGACCGCAAATATCTAATTTACCATATTCTCGTTGCTGCCCTTACAGCTATTAGCAGATTATGGCAAAATCCAGACTCTCCAATGGTAGACCAATGTATCCAAACCCTAGAACTAACTAGACGATATGAGATGATGGCATGGAAACACCTACCCACAAAGACATTTTGTCACGGGTGGCAGTCCGGAGCCTGGGACCCAGACACTGTCCGGGCGGCGGTGCGTGGACCTGGACCCATGTATGCCTGATGTTGAGAGTAGGAGTCACAATGTGGAGGTGGATTAGCAGGGTTACCGCATGCCCCCCTGGTGTTGAACACCAGCGTTTGTGCGGCCACATACCAGAACCCTGATTCAGCTTATGCGGATCCCAGGAACTAGGAGCAGGTAATTAAGCAGACCTCCCAGGAGCTGAATAGGGAGGCTCTGCAGCAGGGATGTATCCAGTACTGAAGCAAGGCAAGACTAGAGATAGGCACCATACATGAAAACAAGACAAAACTAGGAGAACACAGAACAGGACAGAAAGCAGAACCCAGAACATGTACACAAGACATGAGGAAAACAAGAACATAACATGGGCATGACTGGACAGCACTGTACAAGGACTGGGATTACAAGACTAAATAAAACAAGACAAGAGATACAAGGTAAAACAAGCGGAGACATAACTAAGCACTATATATGAAAAGTATGGGGATTTAGTTACATTATATGATCATACATTGCACAAGCCTACCAACAACGCCAATGTACCCCATATCTGGCAGGTCCTACACTGCCTAATGCAAGCTAAAACAACCATACTAAACCACAATATAGCACTTGCCTGCAAGAAAGGGCAGAGGCTTGAAACACTGCTGCAAGTCCAGACTGAAACAAAAGGAAAGTGGAAAACAAACGGGTGTGGAAACATAAAACAAACATTTAAGTGAATCCAAGAGACTGGGAAATCCAGGGACGGAATATAAGAATGAACCCAGAAACCCAGCAACAAAGAAAACCAGACATAGACCAGAAAACCAGAAAAACCAAGAAAGGACAGCAAAAAGAGTACTGGATACCAGAAGCCATTGCCAGAATGATCTGCAGCGAGGAAAAGGATGTGACACATTTCTATTGTCTGCTTTGGCGTCCTGGGAGTCATACCTTACCAAGATCCACAAAGCAACGATACCACCAGCATAAATTTGCAAAAACAAAACAAAACACAAAATTACCATTTCCTCCAGCATTTCTGTAACGGAAATGCACCACCCATACCTATCAGCTTCCTATTGAGGCAAAAATAGTACTCACCATGGCAGCAACTAACTGCACTCTCCAGAGACGATAAATCTACTCCAACAGCTATGACCATGGTACTGCCCATGTAATACACACATTATGAGCGAGCCATATTGCATCACTTTGAAAGAAGCAATTTACCTTTCCATCTACAACACACCTCTCCCGCTTACCCCTTTGTTAACACCTCTCCCATTCCCCACCCTCAAGTTGTTATGTTATGATACCATTTCTTTGTATACAGAAAACGCTGGTGTATGGTTCACACGGCATGGACTATAAAGAACCATAGGTTCTTAGCTACCTTTAATGCTTAATGCTGTTTCAAACTATGTCATATTCATGTATAACTGTACACCGGAATTGAAAACTGTAAAAAAAAAAAAAAATCAAAATATAAAATTGAGCCTAAACTAATTATTCTAGTAATCTCTGAGCCTGGACCACAGGCAAAAGTTCTTCTTTTGAGATAATTTTGTTAGTCAGCTGGGAAATTATGTCAGTACCTTCATGGCACTGGACAAAGCACAATCAAACATGAGTGTTCTCTCAGAAGGTTTTTAATGGGGCTGGCAGACATCAGAGCCATTTGCCTGGACGATCCTTCCGGGCAATGGTGTGCATACCGGGGTCGCAGGGGTTGTGGCTGCGACCAGGCCCGGCCCACCAGTGGGCCCAGCCGCCCTGCGACCCGGTATGTACCCAGTGTGGCCAGCCTCTTTTCCTGGGGAGCCGGCCACCTTAGGGCCCCCCTGAGGCTGGCCCTCATGTCACTGGGCGGGCTGGCTGGTGGGTGCGCGAGGGAGCACTCTCCCCTGAGTGCTCCCTCTTCAGCTCCCTCGCGCACCACACTGATGTCATATTCCGGCTCCGGCATCAGTATGCGGCGCATGAGGGCGCTGAACAGGAGGATCTCAGTGCTCCCTCGCGCGCCCGCCAGCCAGCCCAGTGGAATCCCCTCAGCACTCCCAAAGGTAAAAAAAAAATGTGTATGTGTGTGTATGTATTAGGGTTAGTGTTACAGTGTGTGTGTTAGTGTGTGTGTTAGTGTTAGTTTTTGTGTCAGTGTGTGTGTTAGTTTGTGTGTGTGTATGTATGCCTGTCACTGAGTGTGTGTCTGTCAGTAAATGTGTGTGTCTGTTAGCTAGTGTGTATGCGTCTGTTCGTGAGAGTGTGTGTGTGTGTCTTCAGCACTTACCTTTCTCCAGCACTGGACTCCCTGGGCACTGGGGATCCCTCCGCCCTGATCCGCCTCTCAGCTCCAAATGCAAGAGCCGCGCGCGCATTCAAACCGCCCGTAGGAAAGCATTACGCGATGCTTTCCTATGGAC